CCTCACTCTGACAATTTGCTGGCGGTCGCGTCAGATTCCATTCCGGGAGCGCTCGTTGACCTACTCATGCACTTCCCGCTTTTCCCAGCCCGAATTCTTGACCTCGCGCCAGTCCTCGACCTCACGTCGTCCTCGAAGTCCGCAGGACCAGACCGCATGGATTCCCGACCTCGACTCCGAGCTTTCGGGCTTCCGCGACGGCCTGTGGGAGGCGCTCTTTGTGCGCGTATTCTCGCGGGATTGGGAGGCCCGCCCCTTCCTCTTCGTCGTCGTCGTCCTCCATCTCTTCCTCGTCGTTGTCAGTGGTTGCCCTCCTCCCCCTCGTCGTGGTTGTCCTCCTCCTCCTCGTGCGGATCTCCCTCGCCCGAGGCGAGCCGCTGCCACCTCCAAGGGAGCAACAGGTCGAGGGGAGACGCCGTGGCTCAGAGCGGGAATCGGTTTCAGCACCGACACGCGCCAGCCGTTGAATGGAGTTATTTGCTGGATTTCCTGACGCCAACCTACTTCAATCGGCCTCCTAATTCTAGGCTCGGTGTGCTTTTGTTGTCTTGTGTATTTTTTTTGGGCGGGCCCGAACCCAATCTACTTCATCCGCCTTCCTGCTTCATGTTTCCACGTACTTTTCTCGACTGGCGGGTATCGGTACCGATACCGCTCAATATCTCTCCAAGATGCCCCTGAGAGGCCCCAAGAAGCCTCCAAGCGTCGCCCAATAAGGTTTCCAGCGAGGACCTCAGAGGCGAAAACCACTGAACACTAAAACATCACAGCGTGTGTGTCCTGTTTGGGCGCCTCTTTGGGGTGCCCCTGATCGCTTCGGCTGGATTTGCCTCGGAATCCTGGTCAGGTCGCGCCCCATGAGAGGCCCGGGGGGTCGCGATGCTCTTTTCCTTGTGTTCCCCAAGTGGCATGGCCGCGCGAGTCTTTGATGCCCCGGGCAACGGTGCACCCGCTCAGTCTGGCTGGGCCCAGGTGTGGTCTGGCGACGCCACGGCAGGGCCCGAGGCGTTGCGACTGCCTGGGCTTCTCTGCCTGGCCCGGAATCGGGGCCCCTTCTGTGTTCATTCAGGAGGGTTCAAAACACAGACACAACTTATGGATGATTCGCAGTGAAGTGTGGAACAGATGGTGAGAGGAGGGGAGGCGGACATCCAGAACACGTGGAAGAGACGGGGACGCTCGGGATTTGTGCCGATTTATTTGTGTGTGTGTGTGTCCATGGGCCCCTTCAGGTCTGAGTTCGCCCCTGCCACTCCCCTCCTGCCTTCCAGGGTCCACTCCGAGCCGATCGACCCGACCCGATATCGTTTCCGGCCAGCCCGGTCCGATGCGCTTCACATAAAAACCGACGATGCGATACGGCCCGGTGCTCGTCGGGCGCTGTTGTGCAGCCTGGAGTGGCCGATTCAGTTCCGTCTCCGTGCCGATGCGGTCCGATTCGATGCACGGTCCGATCCTAGCTGTGTTTTTTTTCGATTCGTTGCTGGCTGCTCTTGCCTACCCCTCCTGTCTCCCTTCCCGCGGCCACTGCCCTCAGGAATCATAATCTCATGACTGCTCCTGCTCAGCCTGAGTTTTTGCTTGATGAGAAGTCTCCCTGTCGAAGTGCCAGTGCCGCCAGCGCAAAACTTGATGAGTCTATTCATCGCGTTTTGCGCTCGCGGCGCTCAGTGAGCTCGGGCGCTAGTTGAGCCTCCTGCCGTCGTTCGCCTGGCGCGTCAAGAGTTGGGTTTGGCAATTCTACTAGAGGAGGTCCACCGAGAAAACCTGCCAAAATCTCCGGAACATCTTCAATAGGAAATTCACCCCCCCAAAGAACACAACCCTAAACCAGCACCTGAGAAAATCCGCAAATCCCCCCAAACACTTCAAACAATCTCTAAGCCCAAGCCTGGGAACATCTCACCCCCCCAACAAAAACGATCAACCAGCTCTGAGGCAAAAAACCTGGGAAGATCTCACCCCCCCAAAAAACATTTGAAACCGCGTGACGCAAGAGCCCAAACCTGGGAACATCTGACCCCCCCAAACAAGAACTATCAAACATCTCTAAGCCCCAACCTGGGAAAATCTCCCCCCCCAGCAAAAACTTGAAACCGCGTGACTCCAGATGCAAAACCTGGGAACATCTGACCCCCCCAACAAGAACTATCAAACATCTCTAAGCCCCAACCTGTGAAAATCTCCTCCGCCTCCTCCTCCTGCTCCTCCTCCTGCTCCTCCTCCTCTTTCTCCTCCTCCTCCTCCTCCTCCTCCTCCTCCTTCTCCTCCTCCCCCCCCCAAGAAAAACTTGAAACCTCGTGACTCGAGAGGCTGCGCTGCCGCTCTCTTGCGCGCCCGCCCGGGCGGCCCTCGGCGCGCCGCCTCCCGAGCGCGCGCCTCGGCCGCCCACCTGGGCACACGCCGCCGTCTCCTGGCCAGGCTCTTCGCGGGTGCCGATCAGCAACACGCCGGTCGTTGGAAGCAGGTGTTCTTTCGGGAGCCTTGAGACGGGGGTCAACGCAAACGGGGGTCAGCCAGGGCGCCAGGACTTGCAGGATCCTGCAGGGCTAGGCTCCCATTGACCCGGGTTTGGGTGCAGGACCCTGCAGGATCTTGCAGGATCCTCCGCATTGACCCGGGTTTGGGTGCAGGGTCTTGCAGGATCTTGCAGGATTCTGCACGCCCTGGCTGACCCGGGTCTGGGTTGACCTGGGTCAGGAGATCCCCGATTCTTGGACTCCAGAAGCCGGATATACGTGGAGCGCGCGTAAGATTCTTGCTTGGGAGCCAGGCCCGCGCCCACGGAACAGATGTTCTGCACAGGCCCGACCTAAATCTCATGTCCCAACGCATCTCCAGAAGCCGGATATACTTTGAGCGGCGCGAAGCCACAGGGTCGCCTGCGCCGGCATTGGCGCGCAAGCTGCCCGCGTAAGGTCGCGCGAACGCGCCTTCGTCTCCAATGTGGTGTGCCGCGCTGGTGGCCAGCGTACGCCACCGCGTAAGGCCACTATGCCATCTCGCGTCAGGCCCTCCTCTTTTCGTCGCTCACCTGTGCACGCCGGTCGTTGAAAGTAGGTATTCTTGGACTCCCAGATCCCAATCTGCTTCAAGCGCCTTCCTATTTCAACAAGAAGCGGCACGCTTTTGCTGTGTCTTGTTATTCTCTGGGAGGGCCTGGGCCCAATCCACTTTATCCGCCTTCCTACTTCACGTTTCTGCCTACTTCTTCCGACCGGCGTGTACTCTATGCCTCCCAGCAGTGGTCCGAATAGAGGGGTTTGGGGATTGCGCCGCGTCGGTGATGCATGGACGATGCATCGCCGATGCATCGGCGATGCGGTCTGATGTGGAGCCCGATTTTCCAGACGCCGACGTCGCCGATGCCGATGCATCGGTGATGCATCGACGGTGCATCGTGGTCCTCCGACCCTATCTTGGCAGCATTTGCATTTTTGATTTCCAGATTCGATCCTCGATAATCCTGGGCTCCATACGGGTCGCTGCGCGGGTGGGATGGGGTTTCGCTCCTTGTCGGTTCTGGCCGCGATTCGGGTGTTTCCTTCGCGCTGTCGCGCCCACAGTAAGCAGGTGCACAGCGCTTTCGTGGTCTATCTCCGCAGAGCCAATTACATGTGACATGTGCCATCGCTCACGCTTGTGCGGGGGACCCGCCTGCTCCACAACGTTGCCTCGGGAAAGCCGTCTCACGACTCCTTGCCTCCCTGGCGAGCGTGGATCCGCAGGTGTGGTGGCCGGCCCTCGTCTTCCGGTCCGCGCACTTCAGGCGGCCGCTTGCTTTGCCACGCCAGGGGCTTGTGTCCGTGTCCACCGCCGCGTTGGGGACGTCCCACCCGAGGATCTGGCGGAACGCTGGACATGGACGTCGTCCCCCCCCCCCCCCCGCGAGGGCCGGAAGTGCCCCCACACCTTCTAACGCTCCGCGAGGTCCTCGAGGGCAAGTCTCTCCAGAGCGGCGGGCACGAACAAATCCCCGGCGTAGTTGCCTTCTGTTTCTCTCTAGGCCTCCCAGATAAGCGACGAAGAAGAACGGGGTCGTCTTCACCGACATGGGCGTGTAAGCTACCCACGTAAGGTCGCGCCTGAGCGCCTTCGTTTTTCAACGCAGCGCGCCGCGCGGGCGGTCCGCGCAGGCCCCCGCGTGAGGTCTCGCGTTCGACTGGTTTCTTTCCGTCGCTCGGATGGGTTCGGAGTGCAGTCAAAATCCATCATAAGGACAAACGGCTGTCTTCAGGGTTCGGCGGCGAGCGTGGGGGGGAAGCGAGAAGGGGCGGGCCCTCTCAGAAGGCTCGGAAGTTCCCCGGCCTTCTCTGAGAAGTCTCCGCAGCCTTCCCCGAAGACGCAGAAGACTTCTCAGAAGGCTCGAGGGCTTCTGAGAAGCCCCGCCGCCTCCTGAGCAGGCCTCCTCCTCCTCGCTTTCCCCCCCCCCTGGCTCGCAGCCAAGGGTCCGGGGGGAAGATAGAGACCCAGCAAATTGTGTCAAGATATATGGGCAATCTCCTGGGATCTGTGTGTGTGTGTCTTTCTTTGCGTGTCTGTGGGCCCCGTTGTGCAAGCTTTTCGGCACCGCCTGCACCCCGGGCTCCGCCCGCTCCGGCCGCCTGAGGTCCCGCCCTCTTGTGCCCTGTCTCCCTCATTAAAGCTGTGCGCAGCCCGCCTAGCTTTTCGCGGAAGAGGTTCGCTCTCGCCCCGCCGACCAAAAAAGTCTGTGGGCCCCGTCAAGAGCGTGCCCTCGAGCCCGGGGGGAAGATAGAGACCCAGCAAATTGTGTCAAGACATATGGGCAATCTCCTGGGATCTGTGTGTGTGTCTTTCTTTGCGTGTCTGTGGGCCCCTTCAAGAGCGTGCCCTCGAGCCCCCTGCCTCTGCCGCCCGTCCCCTGCCGCTCTCGCGTGCCGGCCCCTCGGGGGTGCCCCCCGGGGGGCGGGCGACGCCCCTCGGCGGGCGCCCCCGCCTCGGGCGGCCGAGGCCCTTGCGCGCTTGCAGCTCGGCATCGTTGAAGCGATCCCCATCCCCGTCCCCATCCCCTTCGAGACGCCCACAAAGGTTGCCACCCCCCAGTTTGGGGAGACACCCCTCGACACCCGAAGGGCGCGACCTGCACTCCCCATCTAGGGGGGCAGGATCGGCCAGTGGGGCCCAGGCCACGCCGCTGGGGATGGGGATCGGTGAAACGATACTCAGCAGCGGGGCCTTGTTACAGATTTTGACTGCAGGGTGGGGTCGGAGGATTTCACCGCATCGCCAGTACATCGGTGACGTATCGACGATGCGGCGCGATCATTCGACCGCACCTGCTCGTAAGTCGGGCGTGCCCCTCTACAGGAGGAGCATGCAGAAATTGTCAAAACATAGTCTGGGGATGTTTTTTTTTTGTCAATTGTTGTATATTGTTTGGCTATGTTTGATTCTTCGCCCAAACTCCGCCCGTAGAGGGACGTGCCCGATCTGAATCTACTCGGCCGCTATCTCGGAAGCTTCCCTCCGGCTCTCCGCGGACGCGGCGGCACCGAGGCCAGAGGCTGCTCAGGCCTCCGAGCCTGTCCTTGCCAGGGGCTGCCCTCGTCGGACATCGATCGGCCAGGCGGCGTCGAGCCTCGCAGCCCGAGGGTCGCGCGGACTTGCGGCGATTGCTCCCAGAGGAGGGCGAGCTGAGACTGCGGCAGTGGGCCTTCGGGGGCCCCCCTTCGTCGCCACGGCTGGGCGCAGCTCGGACAACTGGTGCGCTTGGCCTCCAGGAGGGGTCCGGGGACCGACCCTGAGCTGCCACCGTCTCAGCTCGCCCCGCTCCGAGGCTGGCGACGATCACTCGCCTTGCCCGAGGAAGCCAGCAGCCTGGGCAGGATCACCCCGTTGCGCGCTCCAGCAAGCTGCCTCGCCTTCATCGGAAGCGAGCCCGGGGGGAAACGAGAAGGGGCGGGCCTTCTCAGAAGGCTCGGACGCCTCCTGGCCTTCTGGGAAGTTTTCTGAGCCTTCCCCGGAGACGCAGGGCATCTCTCAGAAGGCGCGAGGGCTTCTGAGAAGCCCCGCCGTGTTCTGAGAGGGCCTCGTCCTTCTCACTTCCCCCCTCGCTCGCCGCCGAGAGGAGGAAACCAGCAGCCAGGGCAGGATCACCAGGTGGCGCGCTGCAGCAAGTTGACTCGTATTGCAGGTGCTGATGGGGTTGGCATCTCTCCTTTGGCGGAGGGCTGGCCCGAAGCTGGTGGAGGCAAAGGGGGGGGCCGCGGGCGGAAGCCAGCGGAAGTTCGGTGGCAAGCGGCGGAAGCGCAACATTACCTCCTGGATCCTGTACCCCCCCCCCCTTAACCCGAAATTTGGGTCTCCGGGTTGGGTCGGGGTGGCCTGGTAGGTAATTAGTGAATCTTTCGGGTCACGTTCTGCTGTTTGGGGCTCTTGAAGCCCTCTCTAGAACCTGCCAGGGCTGTCCTCGATTGTCTTCTGGGCCGTCTTGGCCGCGCGCTGACCCCCCCCTGTGTTGTAATTCGGCGGCGAGCGATGGGGGGTGGGAAGCGAGGAGGAGGAGGAGGCCTTCTCAGAAGGCGGCGGGGCTTCTCAGAAGCCCTCGCGCCTTCAGAGATATGCCCGGTGTCTTCGGGGAAGGCTAAGGACCTTCTCAGAAGGCCGGGGGACTTCCGAGCCTTCTGAGAAGGCCCGCCCCTTCTCACTTCCCCCCGGGCTCGCCGCCGAGAAATGCCTCTCTTTCGGGAGCGAGGGTTTCTGAAGCGGAAGGCCTCATAGCGCACTCTAGAGCACCCCCCTCCTTGGCCAGTGATTCTGAACAGGTGGTTCCTCCGAGCAGTATTGGGAGAGGGGGTCGTGGATGTACCGCAGATCTTGCAAGTGCAAGCGCTCCTGAGCGTAGTTGCCCCAGTGTGAGCAACATGACTCTTGAGCAGCGTAGGACGTCAGCGCGAGGCCCTTTTCGGCGACGCATTGTCAGGACCGGAATGTAAGTTCGTTTGGTTTGTTGCTCCCCACACATTGCTCGGGCTCAGATGGCAGTGCTGGCAATCAGTTCCACCCCCCAGGACGAGCGCTTTTTCCGTGTAGGCTCGCCATGGACGGCTTGAGGTGCGGCTTCGACATGTATGAGTGGAGTTGTGGCGGATCCGCTTTCGGTCCCGACTGGGATTGCAGTGGATCTGCTTCCGCCCGCGTGGGTCGGAGGGACGCCAACCATACACCACCAATACTGTGTGCGCGTCGCCCCCTCCTCCTCCTCCTCCTCCTCCCTCCCCTCCTCCTCCCTCCCCTCCTCCTCCTCCTCCTCCTCCTCCTCCTCCTCCTCCTCCTCCTCCTCCTCCTCCTCCTCCTCCTCCTCCTCCCTCCTCCCCAGCCCTGGCCAGGTCCATCCTGGGCCCTGCCTGCACTGGCGCATAGGCCTCCAGGCCTTGGCCAAGGGGGCCTGTACACCAGTCCAGGGCCCAGGACGGGCCTGGCCAGGGCCTGTGGTGGTGTATCGTTTAGAGCTCTCCCAGTTGAGTACTTACCAGACCACCCCAACCCAACTCGAAGGCCCGAATTTTGGGTCAGGGGTTCCACATGTGTTTTCTCAATGTTCCCCGCCCCCCCCACTGGAAATGGAGAGCAAATTGAAGCCGTCGGGTTGGGTTGGGGTGGTTTGGTGGGTGGTGGCTAGTGGATCTGATCTGGCTTGTTGCAGACCTGGTTGCGTCCCCGTGTTCTCACACGGATCTGGCCTATTCCCAGCGGGGCTCCCCCAGGGCCCGCCCGTGACGCGTTGAGATTCTGGGGGGCGGGGTTTGCGGTATTCTGAGTGTCGCGGCTCGTACTTCAAAAGGAACATCGTCTTGCGTAAGTCGAGTCTGGCAGACGGTGAGGGAGGGAGAAGGGAGTACAGTCGGACTGAGGTATGAGATCGAGGTCGGCTCGGGAATGATACCCTACTGTTCTTCGTATTTGTTGGATGTTCTTGTGCATCCTGGGGAGGGTACCCTTGGATGTTCTGTGTGTTTTGGCCTTCGGATGGTCTCATGTTTTTGAAGGATGTTATTATGTCCTAGGTCCAGCCGTACGTGTGGGAATAATGGAGCAAGGAGGGAGAGGCACAGAAAGGGAGAGGAACAAGGAGGATTCAGGACTATTCAGTGCCGTAGTGCGTAGCTGCACATCTTGCTTTGCATCGAGCTGGAGCGCGCGCGATGGTTCTACAGCCTCGTGCGAGTTTTCTCCTAACGCTGGTCCACGGGCCTACGCTGGCTTGCAGCTGGCCGCTTATTAGCGAGGGCAAGGCGGTGTGGCTTTGCACCACATAGCTTGAATCACATAGCTTTCACCGCTGAAGTCAGAATTGTACCTTGCAGGAGACAGGACGAAGTGTACGAGAGGACACATCAGACCGACGGGGACCCGACTCCTTGCGGAACACATGTTGGGGATTACCCCAGTGCGACCCTACCTAGAAGTTGGAGCCCCTAGGAAAGCAGCGTTAGTTGCCATGCTATGCTACGCTATGCTATATCATGCTATGTTGCGCTATGATATGCTATGGTATGTCGTGGTATGTCATGCTCTGCTATGCTGCGCCATGCTATATTATGCCATGCTATATTAATACATGCTATGCTATGTCATGCTGCGCTGTGTTATGCTAAGCTATGTCATGCAGTGCTGTGCTATGCTATGCCAAGCTGTGCTATGATATGCTATGACATGTTATGCTATGCTATGATATGCTATGATATACTATGCTATGTTGCGACATGCTATGATATGCGATGATTGGCTATGTTATGCTATGCTGTGCTATGCTATGCAATGCTAATCCAGCGCTGCGCTATGCTACGCTAAGCTAAGTTAAGCTTAGCTATGATATGCTGTGCTATGATATGCTATGCTATGCTGGGCTATGCTATGATATGCTGTGCTGCGCTATGCTATGCTACGCTATGCTATGCTATACTGTGCTCTGCTATGCTAAAGCTCAGCGAAGCTAAGATGAAGGTAAGCTAAGCTAAAATAAACCTGAGCTAAGATGAAGCTAAGCTAAGCTAAGATGAAATAAGCTAAGCTAAGATGAGATACGCAACGCTAAGCTAAGGGGACGTAACTGGGGGAACCGCGGGGCGGATCCTGGGGGAACAGCCCGGGGCGATTTCCACTGCCCGGCCCCTTTAAGCTAAGAGGGTAAGAACCCTTCTAGGTAGGGAATTAATTCATCAAAGGAGATGCTGACCAAACCACATCAGACTATGCCAATTATGACGACGCTGGAGGCGAAGCCGCTGCCCACCCCGAATCAGCATCCATCGAGCAATGTGTTCTGACATTTCAAGGGGCACTGTGGCCAAGCCAGGCAAACCGTGAGGACGTCTCAGGCGAAACCGCGCCCAAACCAGGGAATTCGTGAGGACCTGTCAGGGAACCGAGCCGCAACCGAGTCAAGCCTGGCACACTTTGAGAGGATGCCTCAAGCGAAGCCGTGCTGAAACCATCCCATGCCAGGGGAATGGGGAGGACGTCTCCGGCGAAACCGCGCAGAGACCAAGCGAAGCCAGGCAAACTGTGAGGACTTCCCAGGGGAAGCCCAGGCCAGACCAGGGCAGCAACGGTGCAACTTCTGAGGATGTCTCGGGCGGGGCGCCCAGCCCAGCCCCAACCGGGGACCCAACCAGGCAAATCCCGGGGATGTGCCGGGCGAGACGCCCCAAGCCAGTTTCCATCCACTCCCTTTGATGTGATACACGTGAAGCAGCTGATGCCCCAATGGCCAAGGGGGTCTCCGCGCACGGGCCCCTTACATTCGAATTGTAGTGGGGTGGGGGCGCGCAACAGCATGCATGTTCCTGGGGCGCAGCAGCATGCACGCAGTTGGGGCGCAAACGTATGCAGTTGTGCTCCGACTGTTCTGCGGGCTTTGGCGTCGCGTACGTAGGAAGATGCCCGAGGCTGTAGTACACATGTATACGTATGTGCGCAAATCCGTTGTAAACATGTATACGTGAACGTTTATGTGTACTTTTATATGCGCACGTGTACATTCAGATGTACACACATGCGCATATCCAGCTGCCTCATTCGGGCACGCCCCGCCACCGTGCGAGCCCAGCATTCCGGTATGCGCTTGTTTGAGGGGGGACGGGAGGCCGTCACGTGTGACACTTCTTGTCTCCGTGCTTCGGAGAGCCGCGCTTCTGCTCCCGCTGTTGCTGATGATGATGACGATGATGAGATCATGCTGCTGCTGCCGAAGATGATGATCTTGATGATAATGACGATGATGAGGAGGAGAACGAGGATGCTGCTGCTGATGATGATGATGGTGATGATGCTGGTGATGATGACGACAGCGATGATGATGGTGATGATGACACAATGATGCTGATGCTGATGGTGATGATGCTGATGTTGTTGATGATGATGATGCAATGATGATGCTGATGATGCTGCCGCTGATGATGATGATGATGATGATGATGATGATGCTGATGATGATCATGCTGATGATGCTGATGATGCTGATGATGCTGGTTATGATGATGCTCATGCTCAAGATGATGCTGATTCTGATGATGATGATGATGATGATGCTGGTGATGCTGATGATGATGCTTTTGTTGATGCTGGTGCTGCGGCTGCTGATGATGTTGTTGATGATGATGATGATGATGATGATGATGATGATGGTGATGATGATGCTGATGCTGATTCTGATGGTGATGCTGCTGCTGCGGAGGAGAAGGAGGAGGGTCAGAGTGAGGAAGAGGAGGAAGAGGAAGGCCGTCACATGTGACACCTTTATGTGAGGAGCTCTCATGGAACTCGTCTGGGACGTCCTGTGGCTGTCTTTGCCTCCCGTGAGGCAGTCTTGGGGCCTCCTTGGGGCCGTCCTGGTCCGTTATGTGTTCATTTTTACAAAGTTTCGTTGCCTCGGGAGCAGGGGCGATGCTCGCAGCTGTCTGCGGCTAGACGGGGGGCCCTTATCAGCTTATCAGGATGCACAACCCCAGAAGAGCAGCAGTTTGCATCCCAACACGCCGTAATCATATACATATATGTGTATATATATATATATATATACATGTATCCCCATGTACATAAAACATACGTGCACCCACACATATACAAATCACGCAGGTGTATACGATACAAGTGTATCTACATATGTGTATACGTATGCATACGCACATGCACATATATGTATGTATGTATGTATGTATGTATGTATGTATGTATGTATGTATGTATGTATGTATGTATGTATGTATGTATGTATGTATATATGTATGTATGTATGTATGTATGTATGTATGTATGTATGTATGTATGCGTGCGTGCGTGCGTGCGTGCGTGCGTGCGTGCGTGCATGCATGCATGCATGCATGCATGTATGTATGTATGTATGTATGTATGTATGTATGTATGTATGTATGTATATACATATATATATATGTATGTATCTGTATATACGTGAATACATGTATACTCACAGGCATATTTGTATATCTTCAGTTGACGAGATTTCCGAAGGGGGGTTCAGCGGTACTGGGCGGCCTCTTGTTCTCGGGCCCCCACCGTAGCCTCGTCTTCCCTGTGGCCTCTGGGAGCCTGCGCGATGTGGCTGCGCCCGTGGCTTCGGCGCGCAGGGGGCCGTGTGGAGTGGGGAGGGGCTGCTGGGGGACGGGAGGCTGCGTGGGTTCCATCCGGCGGCGGCCCCTGGGCCCCCGCGCCCCGCCGGTGCTCGGGCGTTGGCGCACCGGGGGAGCGGTGGAGGGGGGAAGACGGGTGCATCCTGGGTGCCCCAGAGGGGCCTCCAAGGGTTCCTCCTCCTCCTCCTCCTCCTCCGCCTCCTCCGCCTCCTCCGCCTCCTCCGCCTCCTCCTCCTCCTCCTCCGCCTCCTCCTCCTCCTCCTCCTCCTCCTCCTCCTCCCTCCTCCTCCTCCTCCTCCTCTCCTCCTCCTCCTCCTCCTCCTCCTCCTCCTCCTCCTCCTCCCCCCCCCTCCCCCCCCCCCCCGCTCCAAGAAAAGGGAGACGAAAGGTGCGCGTTTCTCCCCCCCTTCATCGCCCCTCCAACTAAGAAACACTGTCCGAGATGCCTCGCACTGCCTCGCACTCGCGTCGTTCCCGCTCGCCTCCTCCCCCCCGCTCAGCATGACCTGCTGGGCGGCCGTCGCGATGTCCGCCGCCCCGCGGCTGGGCGTCGAGCAGCTGGACAGGCCGCCCGGGGCCGGGCTCCCCGCAAGGGCAGCCGCCTGCTCTGGGCCGCTCCGGCTTGCATCTTCGGGGGGCCTTCCCTGTCCTGCGAGTGGCGGCCTTGGACTGTACTCCGACGTGGGCTCGACGTGAGTGCGACGTGGATCTGGCACGGGTTTGACACATCTTCGACGCGTTCGACACGGATTCGACACGGTTTCGACGCGGATCGCGGCGCAGCGGGACAGACAAGGTCCCTTGAAGATGCAACATAGCGTCTCCACCGCCAGATCATGCCCCCCATTTGGGCGCAGGGGCTCTTTCTGGAGGGTCGCTCTTCCTGCCCCAGTTGCTCCCTCCCTCTCTTCTCTCCCCCTCCCTCACTCCTCTCCTCCTGCCGCGCGCTTCCGCTCGATTTGACCTGCGCCGCATCGCCACGAGCGTGCGGCCACGACGTCAATACACACGTGTCGTGTGTGTGTGTGTGTGTGCGTGTGCGTGCGTGCGTGCGTGCGTGCGTGCGTGCGTGCGTGCGTGCGTGCGCGCGCGCGCGTGCGCGTGCGCGTGCGCGTGCGCGTGCGCGTGCGCGTGCGCGTGCGCGTGCGCGTGCGCGTGCGTGTGCGTGTGCGTGTGCGTGTGCGTGTGCGTGCGTGCGTGCCTGTGCGTGTGCGTGCGCGTGTGCGCGTGCGCGTGCGTGCGTGTGCGTGTGTTCTCCGCAGCTGAGTCCGGGCGTGCCCTCTCCTCCCCGTCCTCCGCCCCCCTCCGTCCCTTCCCGCCCCTTTTCCCATCCACGCCCTGGGCGGAGGAGCGGGCAGCGACGCCACCACCTCACACTGTCGCCGGGGTCTGCGCGGATCTCTGGGGGTCGGCACCTGGGCCTCCCTCCCCACCTGGCCACGGCAGCGCCCACCGCGCCGCCCTCCTCCTCCTCCTCCTCCTCCTCCTCCTCCTCCTCCTCCTCCTCCTCCTCCTCCTCCTCCTCCTCCTCCGGGAGTCCGCGCGGGCCTCGGAAGGCGCGTGGTGTTGCCGACCCTCGGTCTCCTGTCCCCTCCCCCTCCGCTCCCTTATCGGGGGAGAAAAAGATACGGATACGTGTTGTCCCCCGTCGTTTTCGGCCTTTCCTGGTCCTCCTGGGGAATCCTCGTTGTCACCGCTGGATTCGCCTCGAAATTCTGGTCAGAACGCACCCCAAGAGAGGTCCGGGGACAACACGTATCCGTATCTTTCCGCCCCCTAACCCTTGTCTCCCTGGCGACATCACGGATTTTTAGCAGAAGGCTTTGGTTTTGGAAGCACCACCCGGCACATGGCTACAGAGTGCTACAACTTCCAAATTCCGGGCGGACCTCGAGAGCGACTTCTTGAAATTCACATGCCTGTGACCGGGTTCCAACCCGCCCGCGCCGCTCCTAAGGGGCCTGCCGGCCCGCCGGCTGGCACACTCGCGCGTCTGCGTCGGCGTCTGCGTCCGTTTATGTCCCCCGCCCACCTTCAGTCAAACTTGAAGCGAGCTCGTGGATGTAAGTACGCCTCCCATGCTGAGGGCAACGACACTTTCCTAGATGAGCTTGTCCCAGCTTCAACCCTTTTCCTTTAGTCCTTGGCTGGATTGCGCTGAAGACGTGTCTTCTGCTATCTTATCGATCGATTTCCCCCTCCCAGTATCTGGTCACGCAACATGGAGGCAACTGCCCGCATGATCAGGGAACCCACACGTGACAAAGACTGGCCCTCCCCCCTCGGGCCACCTGGTGCTGGACCCGCCCCAAGTGTCGGGGGCGGCGAAAGGAGGGGATTTGCCCACGGGGGAAAGCGCTGCCCCCCAGATAGCCCACTCGTCGTCGACTGGAGCTTCGGGTGTCCCACCCGCCCAGGAGCGTTCGGTTTCGCCATTGAGGGTCTGTCGCCGATCCGTCGGCGGAACATCGCTGATTCCAGGCTTATGCTTCCCCCCAGAGCCAGTGCCCCCTTGTCCCCCCCCTGACCAAACCTACTGGGACGGCAACACTACCCATGGGTCGTTGAAACCCAGTGTTTTCGGGATTCCCAGATCCCAATCTACTTTAAGCGTTTTCCCACTCCAATGATCGAGTGGCTTCACCTTTTCCGCCCTCTTGATGGGGCGCGCGGGCTCCCAATCTGCTTTCAACGCCTTCTCACTTCATGCTTCTACCTGTTTCTTCCCACCGATGGGTAATGACACCAGGACGCTTGAAATCACGTAGAAGCCGAGGTCTATAGCTGTCCCGGTAAGTCTGTTGTAGGTCTGGAGGGCTATATATTTGCACAGCGGAAGGTCAAGGTACGCGTCGCCAGCAAACCTTCGGGTGCTAGACGACCCTGTCAGGCGAGCTGCTGAGAGAGTCTCCCCCTTGCCCGCTTCTCTGGCGACGAGCCCCCCCCCCCCCGCGTCCGCCACAACACTCCTGGCCGCCGCTGACGGCAGCACTGCCAGAGGGGGCCGATTGCAGGACGGCCAGCAATGTTTCACAGAGCTGGTGTCCTCGACCCTCTTCGACCCTTCCCCTCGGGGCCAGCACAGCGTCGTTTGGTCCCCAGCGGCGCCGCGGCCAAAAGGGCTGTGCAAGCCGTGGGGCCTACACGCCGTGGTTGCGGGGCTGGCCCATCCCGTGGCGGGCCGCGAGCTCGGGCTCTCTGCGCGCTCGCGGGTGGGCCAGCGGCTCGCCCAGGCCGCTGGGGGCCGGGCTGGCCCCCGAGAGGGGCGCTCGCAGCAGAAGCAGGAGGGGGAGGGGAGGGGAGTGCGGAGGGGGATCGGAAGGTCTTTAGCAGCAGGAGGATGAGGATGAGGATGAGGATGAGGATGAGGATGAGGATGAGGATGAGATGAGGATGAGGATGAGGATGAGGATGAGGATGAGGATGATGATGATGATGATGATGATGATGATGATGATGATGATGATGATGATGATGATGATGATGATGATGATGATGATGATGATGATGATGATGCTGCTGCTGCTGATGAGGATGAGGATGATGCTGATGATGATGATGATGATGATGATGATGATGCTGATGCTGATGCTGATGATGATGACGATGACGATGACGATGATGATGTTGATGATGATGATGATGATGCTGATGATGATGATGATGATGCTGATGCTGAGGCTGATGCTGATGCTGATGATGATGATGATGATGATGATGATGATGCTGATGCTGATGCTGATGTGATGATGATGATTGATGATGATGATGATGATGGTGATGATGATGATGATGATGATGATGATGATGATGATGATGATGATGGTGGTGGTGGTGGGGGTGTGGTGTAGTTGGTGGTGTGGTGGTGGTGATGATGGTGGTGGTGGTGGTGAGAGAGGAGGAGGAGAGGAGGAGGAGGAAGGAGGAGGAGGAGAGGGAGGAGGTGGAGGAGGAGAGACGCAGTGAGGAGGGAGGAGAAGGAGAGAGGAGAGGAACAGAGAGAGAGAGAGGACAGGAGGAGGAGAGTTGGACGAGGACGAGGAGGAGGAGGAGGAGGAGGAGGAGGAGGAAGGATGAAGGAGGAGGAAGGACGGAGGAGGAGGAAGAGGAGGAGGACGGATGGAGGAAGAGGAGGAGGAGGAGGAAGAGGAGGAGGAGGAGGAGCAGGAGGAGGAGGATCAGGACCGTCCCCGTGTCCTCCTCACGGCCTGCTCTGGGTGTGACCTGGCCGTCGGCCGAGGGCGAGCTACAGCTGCCTTCACGACGCCGCCTGCTCTGTCGACGCCGCGGACTGATGCGCGCACGGCGGGGCTGAAGGGGGGGCGAGCAGCTGTCACAGAGGGAGCTCTGCTCCACCTCCTCTTCCTCTTCCCCCTTCCTCTCCTGCCCCTCCTCCCTCTTCCCCCTCCCCCTGTTCTCCTTCTCCTCTCCCTTCTCTCTCTCTCTCCTCCTTTTCCTCGACCTCCTCCTCCTCCTACCTATCTTCCTTCTCTTCCTCCTCCTCACGCTCTTCCTCATCTGTATTCAGCACGTGGCATGTCAGTAGTGGTAGCGGACGTGTGAGGAACCATGGGCATGGGGCATGCATCTCCGCTTCCTTCTGTCCTCTCCTCTCTCTTGTCCTCCTGTCAAGGGGGTGGATGGCTTTCGGCCCACGCAGGAGACACGGCGCCTCTCGTGCATGCCGGCTTCGGCACCACATGTTTGTACCACACAGCTTGATTACATGGAATTGGTTGCATTACATAGCTTCCACATCCAGGGCGCACAAGCTATTTTTCCCGGTCCCCCTGTGTGGTGGGTCCTTTTTTTGAATCCGCAGCGCCGCGCGTCTCTTCCTTCTCTCCTCTCCTCTCCTCATCCCCCTCCTCCTCGTTCTCCCCCTTCCTCCTCCTCCTCCTTGTCCTCCTCCGCGTCCATTCGGCATACCTTCACGAGGACCGTGGCCCCACAGGAAGCTCCACTGAATGCCTCCGCGGCAACGTTCGCATGGCGTCTCCCCGTGCATTTCGGTGCACCTCTCACAAGGATCGTGGCCCCACAGGGAGCTGCACCGAAGGCCTTGACGGCAAAGTCCGCATGGCGTCCCCCGCGCGCATTTTGACGCAGCCGCAGCCCTCACGAGGATCGGGGTCCCACAGGGGGCTCCACCGAAGGCCTTGACAGCAGAGTCCGCATGGCGTCCCCCCCGCGCATTTCGGCGCACTCCTCAGAAAGATCGTGGCCCCACAGGGAGCTGCACCGAAGGCCTTGATGGCAAAGTCCGCATGGCGTCCCCCCCCCGCAGATTTCGACGCACATTTCACGAGGATCGCGGCCCCACAGGGAGCTGCACCGAAGGCCTTGACGGCAAAGTCCGCACGGCGTCCCCCCCCCTGCGCATTTCGACGCACCCCTCACGAGGATCATGGCCACACAGCGAGCTCCACTGAAGGCGTCAGAGGCAACACCCGCATGCCCCCCCTCCTCGCTCATTTCGGCATTCCTCTCACGGATTGCGGATTTAGTCGTGAGAGTGAGCGCGTGAATGGAGAACGTTGAATGGGTGCTGAAGTTGTTGGGGGGTGCCGCAGGCCCTCGCCATATTCGTGCGTGTTGATCTGCCCTCTTCATAGTCGCCTCGTTTTGAGAATGGGCAAGGTTCTTTGCCAGGTTACTTTGGGGGTCCACGCTGGCAGACCCGAATGTCAATGTATTCCGCCTGGGTTCAAATCATACCAACGTGTGTCAATTCGTACCAATGGATTTCTGTAGGCTGATACAGGTTCCTAAGGCTTCCCAGGGACGGGTACTTATCGATCCCTTTGGGCTCCGACGGGCTCCTGTGGCAACATATGGATGCAGTTGCAATCCTACGGTTGACTCTTGTGGGCTACAGTCGGCCCTGATTACCGCCTGTGGCCCTCGTAGCTCAGCTCGTGGTCCCCGTAGCCCTGCTCGTGGTCCTCGTAGTACAGCCTGTGGCCCTCGTAACTCAATGGCAATCGGAGATCCGCTGGTGGCTCTTGTAGTAGTCCTCGTAGCCCTGTTTGTGGCCCAAATAGTTCAGCATGTGGTCCTCGTAACTCAAGAGGTGGACCTCGTAGCTCTGCTGGTGGCTATTGTAGATCAGCAGGTGGCCCTGCTACCTCAGCCAATGGCCCTCGTAGCTCAGCTGGCGGCCCTCGTAGCACTGCCTGTGGCCCTCGTAGCTCAGGCGCAGCCCTCCCCAAGGCAATGTGGCCCTCGGAAGGGTCTTGTGTCCTCTCGCGTGTCCTGTCCAATCAAGGCCGACTGTACTGTGGGCTCATGGATTCTGAGAGATCCTTATGGGACCCCATGGTTCCTTTAGATACCGACGGGTTCTTTTGGATTCGCATTGGTTCCTATGAGCTCGTCGGATCCTACAGGCCCTTTTTAATTCCAATGGTTCCCAATGAGTTCGCGCGGAGTCCAGCCTCGCGGATCCCAATGACCCCCGCGGATTCCCACGGCTCTTTTGTGGACGCCGAACTTGGTCCGGCGGCGAAATCTGAACCCTACCCTCGCCGATCTACGATTCAAGCAACCCAGAGGGCGGCGGGGGTAGGGTTCGGAAATAGTCGAACACGCGGCGAAATCCGAACCCTACCCCCGCCTCCCATTGATTCAGGAGGATCGGGGGTTGGTGGGGGTAGGGCTCGGATGTCGTCACCTTAAGGTTCTCGTGGGTTCCTGCGGATCGCGATTTTGCCCATTCGGCTTCACGTGAACCACCCAGAATCGAATGTTCGCGCCCCGTAGGATGATTGCGGAGTGAACCATAGACGCACACACACACACGTTGCCTTTTCATTCACATTTGGAAAGATATGGGAATTGGACGACAAGATGAAATCCATGCGATCTGAACCATACGAGCGACGCAGAAATCTGTGTCGTCTTCACAGGCATTGGCGCGTAGACTGCCCGCGTGAGGTCGCGCGTCAGCGCCTTCGTTTTCTATGTAGCGTGCCGCACAGGCAGCCCGCGTAAGTAAGCCCCCGCGTAAGGTCGCTACGCCATCTCGCCTAAGACCTGTTTCTGCTGGTCGCTCACATGGGAGCTCATGGACGAAGGGTAGGTTTTGACATACAGTTGGACCGAGGTACAAGATCGAGCTCGATTCGGGGAGGCTATTTTCATGACCTCCTTGCCTGCTGGATGCTCTTGGGCATGCTGGGGAGGGTCATTTCCCCTGGGTGTTGAGCTGGTGGAGGCCCTCATGCTCTTGAGGGTCCGGCCGTGGGGGAACCCGTGGCCGTCGTGTGGGTTCACGCGTGTCGCATGGGGCCCCCCTGACGTGCCGTGGGGGCGGCCGCCCGAGGAGCGCTTCGGGCTGGGAGGGGAGAGCAGCCCGGAGCTCCCACGGGGCACTCCGCAGGGGAGGCGCCCGAGCGCCTCCCGCGGTCACCCGCCGGCACCCTCGGCAACGCGTCGGGTGTGATCGAAGAGCGGGGGCAACGACAGTGGGGATGGGCAGAGGGGGGGATGCATCGTCCCCCAGTCGCCCACTGATCGCTGACAGGAGCCCGATGGCCCCAGCCTGCCCGGGAACGTGCAGACTCGATATCATCGGGAGCCTTGAGACGGGGGTCAATGCAGACGGGGGTTAGCCAGAGCGCTGGATCCTGCAGGATCCTGCGCAGACCCCCTTTGGCTGACCCGGGTTAGCGAGCCGCTCGTGGCCGCGGGGCGGCCGCGCCTATTCGCTGACCCGGGTTAGTGAAGACCTGCGCTGAAGTGTTTTTTTTTCCTGCATTGCAGTTTCTGGTTTCCTGCTGACCCAGGTCTGGATTGACCCGGGTCAGAAGAGCCCCGATATCAGAGGCACATCGCCGATCTACTGGCGATCTATCGCTGATTCCAGGTCGATGCTCACCCCCCCTATCCAGATCCCCCCCCTTCGTTTCCCCCGGAAGAACAGGAAAAACGGCATAAACGAACTTTCGACGTTTCGCTCGGATTCCTACTTCAGCGCAGATCCAAGAAATCAGAGCGAAACGTCGAAAGTTCATGTTCATGCCTTTTTGTTCCCTCCAGGTGTGCCGCACGAGGTATTATATTCCAGAGAGGCCCTCGCCTTCGAGGATCGAAGGAGCTGCTGTCTCTTCGTCGGCGGGAGTCGGCAGACGGGGGTCGGAATCCCACGGGAAGCAGAGCGAGGCCGCCTCGGCCGGTGGAAGCATGCGCGTGGCCGGCGGGGTTCAGCTTCTCCGGGGCCAGCCACACGAATTCAAGTTTGGTCTATTCTCGGCGGCGGGCGAGGGCGGAAATGAGAAGGAGAAGGCCTTCGCAGAAGGCGGCGGGACTTCTCAGAAGCCCTCGGGCCTTCTGAGAAGTTGTTCTGTGTCGTCGTGGAAGGCTTAGAAAACTTCTCAGAAGACCGGGGGACTGCCGAGCCTTCTGAGAAGGCCCGCCTCTTCTCATTTCCCCCCGCGCTCGCTGTCAATATTCTATTCTCAGTTCACATTTCTAGGTGCCCCTTCAGAACAGCACCATGGCACCGCGACTGCACGGCACGGCACCATGACGCCGTCTCGAGACATTTCCCTGCTGCCTCGCGTAGAGTTTTCTGGCTTCGCAGCAGGAGCTTTCAACATATCGCAGGGTGGTTGTTCTCAGTTCGTTGCTGTTCGCAGCTTCTCGCCTGCTGCTTCACGTTGGAGTGGAGGTTGCCGGCGGCCAAGCTGCTTGTGCACCCGTCGAATCCAAAGGATGTACGTGTGGCGCAAAGTTCGGCAGCAAACTTCTTTTCTCCATCTGATGAGTTTGTCACGTTGCAGCGTGTGTAGTTTGTCCACAGTGGTGGACGCACAGAAGATCTCGTGGTACGTATTGCCGATCACTTGCCCTCAGCGCCGAATAGAAGCGGAACGAGAACACTGTAGCCAAATTTGAGAGACGCGCGTGATGCCCCTTCTCCAGGGCCATCGGGAAAGTTGGACACACGAGAATGAGCAGGCGCAGCATGAGGAAGAGGCGGAGAGGAAGCTGGAGGACGAGGAGGATTCGGAGGCCTCCCTTCCGATATTCTGTCGTCCTCCCCCTCCCTCTCTCCCTCCCGCTTCCCCCTCCCCTGCCCCTCCCCTCGAGTCTCCCTCCATCCTCAATCCCCTGCCGGTTGGTGAGCATCGCCAGCTCTCAGGGGGCAGCTTGCCTGGAGCAGCCCGTATGCTGACCTCTCGGGGTCTCGAGATCTTCCGCCAGCCTCCTCCTCCTCCCCCTCCCCCTCCTCCTCCTCCTCCTCCTCCTCCTCCTCCTCCTCCTCCTCCTCCTCCTCCTCCTCCTCCTCCTCCTCCTCCTCCTCCTCCTCCTCCTCCTCCTCCTCCTCCTCCTCCTCCTCCACAACGACAGCGACGGGCGGCGACGACGACGGCGGACGCCGACGACGGACGACGACAGCGATGAGGATCGAGCGAGACAACAGCGACCAGCTCAGCGATGTCAGCGCAGGGGCTCTCAGGCACCCCGGGCCCGAGCTCTCTGCGGCGGGGATGTTCATCCTGCCCGGGCCCAGGTGACCTCGGGTCCGTGCTTATCGGTTCCGCCCGCTCCTGCTCGGTGGGTCCTCCTTCCGCGCCAGGGATTGCGTACCCATGTCTGCGGGTCTGAAGGTGTGCTCCCGAGGAGCCTGGGAGTGCGAATTGGAGTGTCCGCCGTAGGCTGTTTTCAATGGGCTCCAAATGCTCCACGCGTGGCTTTTGTATTGCCTCTTTCGGCGACTGCAAGCCGTATGGTTACGCCGGGGTGTGGCTTGAGATCGGCACCGTCGGGGCCTGGGGAGCACGACGCTGTCCTCGTCGGGCCTCCTCGGGGCTCTGCGGAGAGCTCTGTCGAGGTCCTCGCCCTCACCCCAGGGTGACCCCCCCGGGTGTCGGCTGCAAACCACACTCTTTGCACACCACACCCTTCGGAGTCGCCGACTCGGGCCGTGGGCGGGAGGCATATCCAGAGGGAGGAGGAGGGAGGAGGAGGGAGGAGGAGGAGGAGAGAGTAGGAGGGAGGAGGAGGAGAGAGGAGGAGGAGGAGGAGAGGAGGAGGAGGAGGAGGGAGGAGGAGGAGGAGGAGGAGAGGAGGAGTAGGAGGAGGAGGAGGAGGAGGAGGAGCTGATGATTCGCATGCTCTTGGCGTGGTTGGCATATTCGCTGCTCGTTGGCACATCGAGGCAGGCTGCGACGCTCGAGCCCTGTTCGCCGGCAGTGGCGCATCGCACAGCCTTCGCTGCCCGCGCTGCCACGTCGCGGGCCACAGCCCGGAGTGCATTGAGATTTAGCTGTGATCTTCCGAGGTCTGTCAGGAGCGACAAAAGGACGTACACGTACATGAATCCACGCTGGTTTCGAGAGTACGCATAGCGCAAATGTTCGTATAACGCGGCAGGTCTCGCGGATCGAGGGGCCGTGTTCATGTACATAGCTGGGCGCGTACGTCCTTTGTGGGCTCCCTAGTCTGGATTCACATGTTGTGATTTCCTGAATGTGAAGCTGGATTCCACCAACATGTGAATCCGCATGGCTGGCTTCCTCCTTACGACCAGAGCATGTGAAGCCACATGTTGTACTTTCCCACTATGGGACATCACATGTCCTGAGCACTACATGTCATGTTTTCAAACGATCGAATTCAAATGTTCATTGTGCAACGCATGAGTTCCATCATGCTTGTGATGACGGCATTGGCTGGGCGATCTGTTACCGCGAACAGAGAATGCTCGAGCGCTGCATGCCTGTCTCAATGTGCCCACGAGTAGTGGATGCCAAGCAATCCAGAGCATTTTATTGGGCGATGCGTAAGCCATGGATGGATAATTTAGCACCCAGTGGGCACCGCCTGTGGCGCACACCTAAGCTCGCCCTCCAACATCTCGCGTATCATCAAACGTAGGTGTCTCCCGCCCGCTGGGGGCGGGAGGGGTATCCGGTATCCACATACAACGGTCCCAGGATGACCCCTCGGCATGCGGGAGGACCTGCAAGACGCCTTCTTAGAAAGGCCCCCCCCCCTCCTCCCCCCGCCATCCAGCCGCGCGCCGCCGTGGAGATGGCGAGGGCCGCCCTGACAGGGGTCAGCCAGTAGTATCGTCTAACCGACCCGTATCCCCATCTCAATCCCCATTCGGAGGTTGATAAACCTCCTACACTGACACGTCGATTAGCGAATTGGCCTTTCTCGGTTCGCGCGAGAGCGTCCCGGCCGTCATTCTTGCGGGTCCAGGTCCGTCGGTTTCGGTTCCGGACCGTTTTCACTAAAGAGAGGTTTACTAAAGGGAGGTTTGTCCACCGCCGACCCATCCACCCCCCACCATCTCAGCACCCCAGTTGGAGATATACCCCTCGAAACCCGAAGGAAACGGCCAACATCCTCATCTAGGCCAGCGGGGCCCGGGCCACGCCCATGGGGATAGGGGTCGATTAAACGATGCTCAAGACAGAAAGCAATACCCCGTGTGAGCTGTTGCGCTGCCAGAGCCCAGTTTTTGTGCGCCGCTCCCCGGAGGAGTAAAAGGTACCCATGCCGCTACCCTTCCGCCATACACACATATATGTATACATATATATATATATATACACATACACAGGCGCCCTCCAATGTATTATTCGTGATGTTTTCGCCCCCTGCCGCTGGCCCCCTCTCTATCATCATGGAACATATCAGAGTCGAGTCGGTGCGTCTCGGCGCTGCCTTGGTGCATTTGGGAACACCATGCGGGGGCGGATAATAATCATCAGCGCATATTCAGACGTTGGCGTTATCGAAGACGCCTACGGCGAATCACCGCCGCCCCCGGCCTTTTGGAAGCGCCTATGTGGCCGAACGTTGAGGCCAGATTTGCCAAGCTATCGGACCATGTGTTCCCCGAATCGGTTTGGAAAGCCTTCGGGGAACACGTGGGCATCTTGAAGGTCATCTTGGCCGTCTGGAGGCCATTTTGACCCTTTCGGGCCTTCTTGGAGGACGTCTTGGAGGGCTCTTGGACCGTCTTGGAGGCCATCCTGAGCGTCTTGGAGACCCCTTGGGCCGTCTTGGGGGCCTGTTGGGGCCGTGTCTTGGGCCTCTTGGGCGATCTTTAGGGGCACTTGGGCCGTCTCGGGCCGTCGGAAGGCAAACAAAAACATATGCCACAATCCTTTAAAGACCCATGGGCAATCAATGATTTTGGCCTTTTCGGGCCTTCCGGGGGTCCCTCTTGGAGGCCTCTTGGGCCGTCTTGGGCCATCTTAGGGTCATGTTCGGCCGTCTTGGTGGGCTCCTGGTCCGTCTGACGCCGTCGGAAGCCGTTTGGGGGGCCTCTATGGGCATACTTGGGGCCCTCTTGGAGTGCTCTAGGGCCGTCTTGGAGGCCATCTTGGGCGTCTTAAAGGCCTCCTGTGCTGTCTTGGGGGCCTCTTGGGGCCGTCTTGGGGCCCTCTTGGGCCGTTCTGGGGCCATCTTGGAGTCTTGGGCGCTCTTGGGCCGTCTCGGGCCGTCGGAAGGCCGAAAAGAAGGAAATGTCAAAATCCGTCAACAACCTTAGGACAACCAAGGTTTTTGGCCTCTCCTGGCCTTGCTGGAGGCCCTCTTGGGGGCCTCTTGGGCCGTCTTGGGCCAGCGTCGAGCCAACTTCGGCCATCTTGGTGGGTTCCTGGCACGTCTGACGCCGTCGGGAGCCGTCTTGGGGGCCTTCCTGGGCCGACTGGGGGCCCTTTTGGGGCGCTTCGGGGCCGTCTTGGAGGCCATCTTGGGCGTCTTGGAGGCCACCTTGGGCGTGTTGGAGGCCTCTTGGGCCGTCTTGGGGCCCTCTTGGGGCCGTCTTGGAGGCCACTTGGGCCGTCATGGGGCCCTCTTTGGAGCCTCTTGGGCGATCTTGCGAACCTCTTGGGCCGTCTTGAGCCGTCGGAATGCCGAGAAGAAGCACATTCCAAAATCCTTCAAAAACCTAAAGAAAATCAATGATTTTGGCCTCTTCGGGCCTCCTGGAGGACCTCTTGGAGGTCTCTTGCGCCGTCTTGGAGGCCTCTTGGACCGTCTTGGGCCGTCTTGGACTCTCTTGGGCCGTCTTGGAGGCCGTCTTGGACCATCTCGGGCGGACTTGGAGGCCATCTTGGGCCATCTTCGCGATTTGTTGAGAATGTCCCGAGCGAAACGGCCGTTTTTGGCATTGACTGATGCAGTTTCGGGGTGGCCGGCGGGACGTGCCGGAGCCCCAGGGGGAGTTCTTTGGGAAAAAAAAACAAAACCAAAATCGAAAGGGTCTAGCACGCCAGGCACCCCTGCGATGAATCGAAAGGGGGCGGCGGATCCTAGTGGCCTTCGGCCCATCTCGCCACCGTGCCTGAGTTGTGGGTCTGAGGCCTCTTGTATATGTGTCGGGGAGCCGTGGGGAGCCTCAAGAGGGCCTCTTGGATGTGGTTTGGGCGCCTCTTGGGGGCCTCTTGGGGCCTCGTGGGGTATCTTTTGGGCCTCTTGGAGGCCTCTTGGGAGCCTCTCGGGGCCTCGTGGGGCCTCTCGGCGGCCTCTTGGGGCTTCCTGGGGTTTAATTATTCGTGGCACAGGTATCGAATGTTCGCTTCGTCACGTCTGCGATTAGGGCTTCTTGGGGCTCTCACGGGAGGCCTCTTGGAGCGCTCTTGGGGCTTTCTTGGGCGTTCTTGGGCCGTCTTGGAACCATCTTCCGGCGCCTTGGAGCAATCTTGGCCTCGGCAATGCGAATACGCTGTAATTTGGGAAGGTTTCTGGCTTCGGGAACGCGAACCTGTTGTACTTTACAAGGGTGTGTTGCCTCGGGGACGCAAGACTTGTATAATTTCAAGGGTTGGGTTTGTGGCCTCGGGGACGCGAATGTTGAGTCATTTACGATGGATCGTGTATTTTTACGTGTCCCACGCTCCTGAAGGACCCGGGAGATTCTGGCCCGAGGCCGCCTCGGCGCGAGGAGTTGGGCCGCAGAGGGTGCTG